GTATTCATCAGCTTGTGAACTTTTTTCACATAGTGGCACATATGCTGATAACTGTATAAAATACCAATTCTTTGAGGCTGAAGGGTTAAAAGATCAATTTCTTGGCAAATGTGTAACCCTTTTTTATAGTACTCACTCCATCTGTAAAAGTGGTGATGATGTTAGCAGTATTTACCTATTAGGGAAATTAAGAGAAATTGTATATGCAATGCTTAGTACATTATACTCAATAAATGAGTTTTTGTGTATTAAGAAAATATGTGGTCAGAGTTAAATATTTTTCCTTATTTTTTAACGTTAAAAGTTTTAAAATCTCAGAGGATCAGAATTATCCCTCTCTTTTTTTGGCTTGTGTCTTTTAGTAAGCTCAGAGCTTCTATAGCCCCCTGTCCCATCAAATATCTCTTCTCAAGTTTTCATCAAATACACTTCTGGAATCAGTACCTTATACTTAAATGATTAATTCATTTTTTAAACAGTGAGAAGGTAATTGTTTTTAAAATAGACATGTAGCATGTTCAAAAACTAAACTGAATTACCCAGGTAATTGTTACTGATTTTTCACTCATATGTCCCCTTTTTTTCTTTAAAACTCTTCTTATATTCTGGAAAATTCTCATTTTTTAGGAATTCAAATATTTCTTTGAGAAAGTCTTGTTTCTGGTTTTTTGTTTTGTTTTGTTCTTTTTTGTTTTTTTTTTCCAGTACCAGGAATCGAACTCACGACGTCATGCTTGCCAGGCAGGTGCTGTGCTGCTGAGCTAAATCCCTAGCCCCAGAAAGTCTTGTTGCTATTGTTAGATTATATATGAAACTGTGACTTTCATGAGGAAAATATAATCTTCCTCATATTTATGTCTTTAGACCTTATCATGGTATATAAATATAGCATGTAGATGTTAATTGTTTGCAAAAATACTGACAGACAAGTTTACAAAGAGTATGTGAGATGGCTATATACATAATGGATCTAACAAACTGCCCATGTGTTTATCTTTTCAGTAGTTTTGTGTAACATTCCATGTTTTTGTAATATTAACTCATGATATTAAATTGTCTTGTAAGTTGATGGAGTCCAAAATAAAGACGTTGTATAAGCAGAAGAATGATCCAGTCTGTAAATAAGGAAATCAGACTTGTAATGTACTCCTGTCTTATATTTGGGCAACAAGTATCTGATTTGAATTACAATCTGTTTATGAAATCATAACTTGTCTTATACATGGAATATGAATTGTCATGCATTTGATTTCAGTCAGATCCAAGTATTTGAGTTTGTAAGGTATTTCAGTTCTTTTAAAGTCTAACATGAATATATGATACGGTAACTGAGGATCTTCCTTGAGGAATTTAAAAGTTTTCTGGGAAAGTTCTTTCCCATGATTCCTTGGGAATTTAAAAGTTTTCTGACGTGGAGGCTAGTGAGGCAGGAAGGAACCAAAAATGCCCTCTTTCTGACATAAGACACTGGGAAGATTGCGCCTTTTACTGGGGAGATTTGGGGGAGCATTGTAGGATGTAGTGATAATTAAGGATTTAATCTTGAAATACTAGTTTTAAGATGGCTGTGATTTAAACAAGTTGAACTATGAAATAGGCTATTTGACATACTAACTTGGAATTTAAGAGTTCTGGTCTGGGAAAACGTTAAAGGCATTTTGGTGATTTCGGCCTTGGACTGAGAGCCTGGAGAGGGAGGTGTACTATGAAAGACTCCAGAGATACTTTGGAGGTGCACCAATATGTACAGTATTTTAAAGGATTGGTGAAGAGGATGGCAGTAAATGAAACTGAAAGGCAAAGGCACGGGGGCACGTGCACATTTGTGTGTGTGTGTGTGTGTGTAGTAATAAGTACTTTAGGAATGAACTGGGCAAGGTGGAAGATGCCTATGATTCTACTCTAATCTGAGCTCTTTAGGAGGCTGATGCAAGATGATTGCAAGTTTAAGGCCAGCCTAGACAATTTAGCAAGACCATGTCACAGTAACAGGGTTAGAGGTGTAGCTTTAGTCATCCCGCTTACATCCCCCTGGGTTTGAGTTGCAGTATGTACTAGGGGAAAGAACAGAATAGGGGAAACTTCTCACTGATTCTGAGAAACTTAGATATGAGCCTCCAAAGTACTGTTGAAGAGGCAGTGTGGAATTTTATGACCTAAGCTAGAGAAATTTAACTGGAGTGTTGCAGCAGGAATCATGGGAAAGAACTGTAAAGAGAATGTAAGGTCAACTTACATGTAGTGTGGATTCCGAGAAGACCAGACAGTCTTATTTCTGTTGTTGGTGCCTGTTTCTAAGTGAAGTTTTTCAGAAGTTATAACTAGAGTTTGTGTGGGCGAGCAGGGATGTAGAAGTAGGAGAGTGAGGTCTGAGAGTTCACTGGAAAAGGCGAAGAGCATTGTGAGCAGTGTTGATGATCTCTTTGAGGATGATAATGATGACTGTAATTTTGCCATTTTGCTCAGTTTTCTAAGACTCAAGGGTATATAGACATGGAAGAGTTAAGTGTTTGCCCAGCCAAGACTGCAAATTGCCAGATGACTGCAAGGGAAAAAGAGAAGACCAAGAAAACGAAGGTTATTTACAAGGGAGTGTTTACAGTAATAATCTGTGGAATTCTACTCTAGTTGAAGAAAGTAAGAATGAGAAGTGATCAGTGTGGGTAGCAGTAGAACTGATACATTTAGGTTTTGGTTTTGATTAAGGAGAAAATAATATGGCCCTGAGGATTCTTGGCCAAGTCACTGAAGAGTTAAAAGAGGAGCTGAGGTTGGGATGGTATGTCTGGTGGCAGTAAGATTAGGATTTTTAGCAGTGGTGCAAACCAGTGGTATGTATGCCGGAGCAGACTGTTTATCATCGAAAGATCTAAAAGGTTCGCCATCACTGGACTATGGGACCATCAGAAGGGATTTTGAGATCAACATTAGTTCCGATGAAGTTACCTAAGAGTGACTGAGCCAGTGTTCAAGTCTTTTGTAATAGACCAGAAGATAAAAAAAATGACTTCAGCAATAAAGGGTGCGGGGGTTAAAAAGGTATCAGTGGTAACTGATAAAATGAGAATATGATATTTATGAAAACAAAGAGCTGCAAAGAGGGGTGGTATTCTTGGCCTAAAGTTCAGCATTACCTGTGTAATGCTTTAAAAAGTTCTAAACAATTTTGATGGGTTAACCTGTTACTAGGCTAATTAGGCTAAAGCTGATCAAGCCATTCGATGGATATTAAACTCTGTTGTGTCCTGCAGAACACAAATATTGTCTTTTCATAGCTTTGTTGTTTTTCCTGGCAACTGGGCTGGTGGTTGATTGACCAGCTCAGGTTATTGCAGCTGTTTAAGTACTGTCATTTGCAAATTAGGCAGATCCTACAGTTGGTTTGTTTTGTTTTTGTTTTGAAATGCATATTAACTGACAGGTTTAGAAAAAGCACTATTTTGGATTTCAGTATACCTAGGTTTACATAATGGTCCTGTTGCAGTGGCAAACAGAATCACTGAAAACAACACCTAGGATTTGGAGGCAGAGGTTTGTTTACATGGATGTGCACTGATTGGGATCATTCCCAGACTATCAGGCCCTGATCTCAGGTGGTCTAGGGCTTTTTTATGATGCACAAGCAAGAGCTACAAAGGCGAGACGGAACAGCCTAGTAGTTCTTCTGACTAGGTAGCAGGGTGAGATCATTGATTACAAGGGTAGATTAATGATCATCAATTTATGAAGATTGGTACAGTGAGGCATTTTGTATGTTTGGGTTATACTCTGGTAGTTATAGGGGTCAAGAAAGTAATTACAAAGCCATAAAGTAGTTACAGAGCTAGGCAGTTTCAAAAGAACAAAGTTTTTAAAAGAACAGTTTCTCATGCACAATTTTTTCCTTTCACTATCACTGATTAGTTTTCGGATTTTAAGTCATACAACAGTCTCACCAAACCTAAAATTTCATCATCTATAAAAGACCACAGTAATACATGTAGAATTCTTGAGAATTTGAAAACTACATCAAGCCCTTATTGGACTTACACTTAATACTTGTTGTTTCCCTTAACCCTAGTACCTTTTACTTCCTGATAGTTTTCTTTTTTTATATGTTATATAATAATACAATTTATTTAGTGCTAGTATTTCTTTCTTTAAAAATTTTTATTTGGAAATATTTAACAGATTTTGAAATTTTTTAAAATTTTTTGGTGAGGAGGAGTACTAGAGATTGAACAGAGGGTCTTCACACTGAGCTAAATCCTCAGCCTGCACCCCGCCCCCTGTTTGAGACAGTCCGCTAAGTTGCTAAGTTGTCCAGGCAGCGCCTGAACGTGGAATCTTCCTGTCTCTGTCTCCAAGGATGGGGGATCACAGGTGTGTGCCACCGCACTCAGCCAGACTGTTTTATTAAACAGTGCTCTTAGTGTCTCTTATTTAACAAATAGATTTTTAAAAACTTGGAAAATTTGCCTTTTATTTCATATAAAGTGGTTATAATTTTTGTATTAAAAGCCATTGCTGTTTTAGTTATGAGTAAAATACTTCCAATAAAGCGGTTCTCCCAACACATTAAGTTCATTTCCTGACACCATAGTGTTTTACTGTTAAGTAGCTTGAGACATGTAGTTTTCTTGTTATTTAGAAAAACTAGACAGTCTATCCTTTACATATGAATGGTTGGTCGTGAGGATCATGATTCCCTCAAGTGAAAAGCACACTATGGACCTGGCTAGCATAATCTAAACATTTCTTCTTTTATCTCATACTGTATGTTTATATTTAAATGAATATATAAGTCTTTGGTTTTGGTTTTAAATGAATATATAAGAAGTCTGGTTTCCTTTTTGCTTTTTGTGTGTGATCCACATTTGAGGTTTTTAGTTCAAAAATGGCTTAAATATGTGCCATTTCATAGCAACTTTATTCTCTGTTTAAGGAGAGAACCAGATGGGGGTTTGAAATGTAGATTTAATAGCAAATTCATTTTTTTCTTTTGTTATTTACAATAACAGGGCTGATGGTGTTATGAGAACAATGAATACAGAAAAACTCTTAAAAACTGTACCAATTATTCAAAATCAAATGGATGCACTTCTGGATTTTAATGTAAGTTGGTTATAATTCAGTGATTTAAGATTATTAAAAATTAGATCCTTATAAACTGATTAGTTTCTATTCTCAAATATTCATAGACCTTTTCACACTGTGATATTCGTCCTATTTGGCTAAAGATTTTCTGTAAATGTAGTTTCAAGTCAAATTATTTTTCATCCTTACATTTTAGATTTACTCTTAATTTCTTAGTTGCTTCTTTAGTTCTACAATTTTAGGATATACATGCTAAGAAGAAAATTGATGGAGGGATAAGGAAATTGATTTGAAAATGTGCTATTTGGATAATGGCTTTTAGATTTAAAATTGTGTAAGAATTTCCTTTATGAATAGCTGCCTTAATGTTTTATTTCTGTCTGGTTTGTAGAACTCAGAGCGTAACAATTACTCAAAAATAAAGGGAAGTTCAAATAATATTTATAATAGCTTGTTATATTACCAAAGGGCATTGTTTTCTCTGTAATTTTTGTTATAATGACCATTACTTGCCAGCATTGTCTTGTTTGTAGTGTTAGAAGTTAGTATATTTTTAATTCTGATGTCTCTTCCTCTGGTCCTTCCTCCTCCTCTCCTTCCTTTTCCTCTCCTCTTTCCCTTCCCCTCAAGCATTTCTTAAGTCAAGGTAGTAAGAGGGACTATGACAGTTTCACAATGAAATTGACTTTCATTTTAACTTATATTATAAAGCATCTTCAGACAGAAAGCAAGTGAGCCTTGTTCTCTGCTGTGTCCCCATTCCGTAGGGATGTACAGCAATACTAAGTGTTCAGTAAATGTTAATTAAATGAATCATGTGAGTGTTTTGTAGACTAGAATAGGGTTATCAAATGGTAACCCATTCCCTGTTTTTATGTGGCTTGCTAGCTAAGATGTGATTTTTCTACACAGTATTTAAATGTCTGAAAAAATTTTAAGACTTTTGCGAATGTGAAAATTATATGACACTCAAATTTCAGTGTTCACAATATTGTTACTGGAACAGTGCAAGCTCATTGACTTAAACTGTTGATGATTGCTTTTATGTTATAGTAGCAGCCCATTTGGTCTTTTATCCCCTCCAAAACAAAACAAAAACAGTAGCTTTCTGACTGCTAGTCTAGAAGACAGAATGATGTAATTACAACATTATTTTGGCTTATAGAGAGTAGTAATGGTGACGCTTTTAGAGCTTTCAATGATAACAGACAGCTCACTGCGGCACACATGCTGTATGTTTGCCACCACTGGTATAGAGGCTTCAGAGTCTAAGCATAGTTGTTTTTCCACTTACTTGATTGTTGGGTATCTATATAAAATTTCTCTTCCCAGTGTTTGCCATGGGTAACAGTTTACCTGATCTTTCTCTTGGTAGGTGTTCAGGGTTTCTTGTTTTAGATTCTGAGCAGTGCTTCACTAAATACTCTGTGTGTGTTTTACCAACTCATTTGTAAACTTTAAACAAATTTTTTAAAAATTGAGACAGGGTTTCATTATGTAGTACAAACTAGCCTTGAACTCACCATGTAGCTCAGGCTGGCCTCAAACTTGTGATGGTCCTTCTGCCTCAGCTTCCTGAGTGCTGAGATTACAGGCCTGTACCCCTATGCCTCTCTGTAAACATTTCTATAGGGTGAATATATAGAAAAATAATTTACTGGGTCAATGGATTTAAACATTTTATTTTAAAATGAATATTGCCAACTTAACTCCAAAAGTATTGAACCAAGCACTTGTTAGTAGATGCGTTTTTCTTATCAGCATTGAGTAATAGCTGTTATTTTGCTACTTACTAGTCTGAGGTTTAAGACAGAATATTTTCATAATATAATTTGATTAATTTTAATTTATCTCATAAGTGAACTTTTTTTCACCTGCTAGCCATATGTATTGTTTGTTTTGTAAATTGTCTTTAACTTACCTTATTATTTGGATTCTCCTTATGAGATGGAAACGAATAAGATACTCTGCAAATACTTTGTTCTGGTTTGTTATTTACTAAGTTTGTGCTTATGTTTAATAAGTACTGATGCAAAAATAATTCAATAAATCTTTCATGATTTAAAAGAACTCCTGAATAGATGTGGGCTTTATTATATTATTAGAATTGTTTATGTTATAATGTTAGTAATTAAAAGACCAGATATAGCCCAGAAATTTCAAAACTTAAAGGACAACAGACATTTATTTTTCTCCTTATAATGCTTTTTTGAACTAAGTTTAATTTTCAAAAACTGAAATTTGTTTCCTTGAGGCCTTTAAATAAATCTGAACTCTTTAAGATTTTTGTCAATATTTGGCTTCCCACTCTAAGAAATTAAAAATTTCATATATTGGGAAACTTGTATGTAGTATACATGTTAGACAACGTAAGTACCTTTTTTTTCCTAATAAGCCTAAATATTTTAATGTACCATATTTTAATGTGACAAAAGTCTTTGTCATTTAGCTAATTAGCCAGTTTGATTTTCCATTTTTTCTCCAGGTTAATAGCAATGAACTTACAAATGGGGTGATAAATGCTGCCTTCATGCTCCTATTCAAAGATGCCATTAGACTATTTGCAGCGTACAATGAAGGAATTATTAATCTGTTGGGTAAATACTGCTCTAGCCTTATAACATTTTTTTTAATCTTGTCATGTAAGTAAATAATAACTGAGTTGTTAATTTAAAGCTACCTAAAATTTATTGTTATTTTCATTCATTTTAATAATTACTTGGAAAAAAGACATCTGTGTATGCAAATGATTTAATTCTTATTTTTACTATCTGATTTTTAGCTAGATAAACTTCAGATTTTTAGGTATAGCTGTATTTTTTCCAGCCATTTTTATTAATTTTTAGGAATATTTCTCAATTTCTTTTCCCCAGGATACTGGGACTGAGCCAGGGCCGCTCAAATGCTAAGTGCACATACTACCACTGAGCTATACCCCCAGACCTTAAACTTAATTTAAAAATCTGTAATTATTTTAAATGCAGCAAGCATTTATTTTATGGGTGCCTTTTACTTTTGAGGCATTTTAGGAATTGGTAATATTCTCTTATGTATTCAGTATCAGTGGAATTTTGCCTAAAAATGCCCATTTATTTCAGTGGCATTTGGGTGGAATAGAAAAGTAATCTCAAAGGTGCCAAAGTATCGAGTGTCAGATGAAATACTTTTATTCCAGTATACTGGTTCTCTGCCAATCCCTTCCTTTAGAAAAATATTTCTTGTATTGATTTCTATAGACTAGAATAACACAAATTTATTCAGAGGTGCTCTAATCTATAAGAATAAGGAAATTGGGCTTATTTTTTGTAAGTGAAAAATAAAAGTTTCTTTTCTATATAGCTCTGAAAAGTATAGTATTCTGCTCTATGATTGATATAAATTAGGAGCATTACTCTATTTCATACGAAATTTAAATGGGCTTTCCAAGTAGCATTTAAACATAGTAAACTGGGCATCTTAATATGTTAATACTAGTTATACTATCAATAAAAGCATTTGGAAATAGTAGGTAGTGGTATTTTAAGTGGAGTAAGGTGTGATACGTGTTACATGCAAGTATTTATGGAACTGTGAGCGTAGTAGTATTGAGGAACAAACTAGTAATATGCAGAGTCAAGTAATTTTTGTATTTTGAATATGACACCACTTGTCTTTCAATTTGCATTAAATATCTAAAATAATTTAACGCTGGTATTTGTATTGTAGGGTTATGTTTTCTGAGAGACCTGCACAGTCATTTTAGAGATATTACCTGATATTTTTTCTTTTTAAGTGTTACATTTTGATGTGAATAAAAGTATTTTTATACTTTTGGCAGAAAAATATTTTGATATGAAAAAGAACCAGTGCAAAGAAGGTCTTGACATCTATAAGAAATTCTTGACTAGGATGACAAGAATCTCGGAATTCCTCAAGGTTGCAGAGGTAAAGTATCTTTCAGGGGCTGTGCCTCCTACATTTTGTTTTGTTTTGTCTATTGCATGGATTTTTGGAGAAATTACTTCATTATCCAAGTGAAAGGAATGTCTTCAATATAGTAAGGTATATATTAGGTAATATTAATATGCTTTGTTGAATTCTGTAGTATATGCAGTGAATTAATGAATAAAATATGTACTGTATATTTAATTCAGTGTGAGATATTAAAAAGTAATCTTTTTTAAATTGTTTACTACTTAGTAGGAATAGTTTTTATTGTGGAATTGGTTGTTTGTTTTAGGCTTATTTTGTTAACCATGAGAGAATATTCAGCATCAGTGCAAGATCCTTTTCCTCTGGTGAGCCCTGTAACTTGAGCTACATAGTTCAAATGGGTTTTTCTTTTGTTTTTTTTTTTTGTTTGTTTGTTTTAATTATTATTTTAAAGAGTAAAAGAAGGATAACGTAGTAACAAGGGCTTACCAAATTACAGACAAAATGGTAGGAAATTATCAATGGTTGTTGTTTTACATATTTATTAAAATATCTACATATTGTAGATATTTTACATATCTACAAGATAGTTTCTCAGGAAAACAAATAAACGAATAATAGTGAGTTACAGACAGAAGTGGTAGGCAATTATCAATGGTTGTCGTACTATACTTTGGTATCTTCAAAATGGTTTCTAAAGAAAATAAATAGAGCTATACATGAGTGACCAATTGACTATTCATTGACTATTCTCAGTGGTTGTTGTAGCAAACACATAGTAATAAACATACAACCATTTACGAAATAACATAGGAACAATACAGATATTACAGAGTTATGAACAGATGAGTAGGAAAATATCAGTGGCTGCTGTACTACATGGTGGTATCTTCAAAGTGGTTTCTCAGGAAGACAGAGATACGCAAGAAGGATCTAACAAGTAGTTACAGCCTAAGGGTTGTGAAAAATAGCATATTACCTCCTCACCAGTGATGCCTTTCACTGAGGTGTGACGGCTGGAAGGAAGGCCAGGATTGAAAAGAAGGACTGAGGGACTTGCACCTGTGTCTAGCAACAGGCTCTTTTCTTTCTCCTGTATAGTCATGATTACCCGGGTCTCCTCCATGGAGATGACAGTCTGGCCAGAAGAAGGCAGAGTATGCCCCGGGCCCCCTCAATTCTGTTGGACTAACTGGTAGGGTGGGTCTGAGCTCTGGGGCCTCTGCTTCAGAGGACAGACCGATCTCCATTGGTCACCTTTGCATTCAGGGTGTGGCCCAGGGGGCTTCTTAGGGCAGTTCCTCTTGAGGTGGCCTGGCTTTTAACAGTGGTAGCAGATGAATGCAGTTGTCAAGTTCTTCTTGGGGCCCTGAGAATTAGACTTAGGGTCTGTTTCTCTTAGTGCTGCAGCAAAAGCAGCTGCCTTTTCTCGGTCTCTTTGTTTTCTCTCCTTGGCCTCCTTCTCGTCACAGCTATAGAGTACTGAGGAGGCAGTTCTTACATCTCAAGTGAGCCATCTGGGGTGAAAGCCATTTTTTGTAGCTTTTTCTTTCCAGCCTCCCAGCGCATTGGGACCCTGCAACCACTTAGTGTCCTCTCCCCAGCCGTCAGCACAGGCAGCCGGAATCTCGGTGCAGACCTCTCCGGAGCTCCATGCGCTCCTCCACCAAATGTTTTATTTTTGAACAGAAGTGAATTTTATATATTTGTTCATTATTAACTATGTAAATCATGAAAAGTAGTTTATAGGATAATCAGTTTTGCAAATCTATTTTTAAAATAATTTTATGAAATTGTCATAAAAGGTAGTTACAAAGCCAGTCATGGGGGCATATAGCCTAGCTACTCTCTGGGCTACCGAAAAGGATTGTGAGTTCAGAGCCAGCCTGGGCAAATTAGTGAGACCCTGTCTCAAAAGAAAAAGGGGTAGGTCCTTGGTAGGCAGGGAAGGCACCAGTGACTATAAGGCAGTTGTAGTGTTTGTAGGCATTATTGTTTTGGAGCACATAGGGAGTTTTTGCTTTCCCCTTTTCCACCCTCTGCCCATCACTGTCAGATATGTCTCCCAGGGATAATTTCATTGATTACATCAGAATCGTTGCTCTAGAACTAGGTTGTCATGTTTGGCTCTATTACTGAAGTAATTTGTATTCTAATTGAGATAGAATAGTCCAGAACAGGATGATGAGACCTTTGAAGAAAATAGCCTTGTTTTATGTTGCCTACTGGAATTATTTTGGATTTAGAGATTTTTCAGTGATGGCTGGATATCGTGGGTACATACCTGTAATCTCAGTCACTGGGAAAGCTAAGGCAGGAGAATCACAAGTTTGAGGCCAGCTGGGCAACTTAGTGAGATACTCTTTCTGCCCCAAACCCTATCCCCAAAAGAAAGCTAGGGATATAGCTCAATGGCAGAATGTTTGCCTAGTGTATATGAGGTCTTAGGTTTAATGCCCAGCACCACGCATCCAGAAAGAAAAAAATCACATAGCTATAGGAGAGATTGCAGTTTTCGAATTTGCATCCTAGAACAGGTAGGAAGAGTTACCTTTCCTGCTGGGAAATTGCCTAGTTCTCAAACATCATGAAAAATATGTTGGAATTTTGTCAGAGACAGTCATATCCTGGCTAGATATCACTTGATGTTTATATAAAACCTGACCAACTGGCTGGGCATAGTGGCACATATTTGTAATGTCAGCTACTCAAGAAGCCACAACAGGACCATTACAAGTTTAAGGCCAGACTGGGCACCTTAGCCAACCCCTTGTCCCACCATTGAAAAAAATAAAGTAGGGCTAGGGATGTAACTCAGTGGTAGAATTCTTGCCTATTATTCTTGAGGCCCTAGGCTCAATCCCTAGTACTGTAAAAAAAAATTTTTTTTAAGAAAGGAAAACAAAAGAACAAAAAGACCTGGTCTGCCTACCTGAAACATGTTAAAAGGTTATCTGTGCGACTGTCAAAGGAAGTATGTTTTATGAAGGATAAAGCTTATATCATCAAGTTTGTTTCATACCTTCTTTTAATGCCCCAAGTAACTTGTTCTTGTTTAGCCTTTCTCATTCTTGCTGTAATGTTTTTACTATATGATACATAGAAGATACGAATTATTCAGATTGTGGTAAAGTAGTTTTTATGTTTAGAAGAGGTGGGGATTGTAACATGACAGATTTCTTAAATTTCTAACTCTTAATTTGTCTACTATTGTGATTTCTAGAAACACTGATATGATTAATTGGCAAATAAATTATTTTTGATTTTTGAGAAGTTCTGTCTGTAATATATCATTTTTCTAAATTTTATTTGTAAAATATGTTTATTGTAATTTCATCTATTAAATATGCTTGTTGTTACAGCAAGTTGGAATTGATAGAGGCGACATACCAGACCTTTCACAGGTAAGTATATTGTTAAAATATCAATCCATTGTACTTTGCATACTACAGTACTAAGATGAGTAATGTATAGCTCCTACTTTTTCTTTTTCTTTTTTTTCTTTAGCCCCTGCTGTCAGAGATCAGTATAATTTTTAATGATTAACATTCTGCTGAAGTTTGTTCTAACATTATGACCTCATAAAATGATCTACTCACTCTATACAACACTATACTATTTCTTTCTTTATTCCCTTTAATGTCTTCTGTCATCATCAAAAAAAGGTAAAAGAAAAAATAGAGAATTAAAAGAAGTTTATTTTACAAATATTTCACTATACTATTGGTAGAAAATTATTTTACAAAAGATGTATTTTTCCTGTTTTAAACCTTCAGCTTTGGCTTCTTGACTGAGATCAAAGTATGCAATAGAGTTAAACCTCAAAATATAATCAGGGGTTAAGAGAGCAGGGTTTGGATAAAACTGCCGAATTTTAAGTGCAAGCTACACTTAGTTGACCCTGTGACTTTATGATGAAATATACTCTAGGCTTTATTCATCTCTAAAATGAGGATAGTACAGTATCTACTTCATATGATAGTTTGAGAATAAAGTGATTTCATACCTAAAAATAATTTAGAGCATTTAATTCGTGTTAGCTACTATGTGCTTTTGTCATTGTCATCATCTTCAAAAAATTTCAGAACAGAAAGTATATTTGCAATTTTTTTATATCTCACTTCTGGCTTGTTGACTATTGAAAAGGTACCTTGCATGAACTCTCCTGGTTATAAAACTTGAGTCAGCTCCTTCCTTAACATGTTTTACCTTGTTTTCAACCTTTCCGGGGGACATCTTTTAAACACTTCCTTGTTATCTGTTCTTACTCTTTGTCTTTGTACTTGGCCTGACTCATCCCTCTGATCTCAAGAATAAGAGTACGCAGTAGATCTTACGGATTATATGTGGATAAAGCACTCACACATATGCCCACATGAAAAGAACTGATTTCACTGAGATTGCGCATATTATTCTGGGCTAAATGTGAGAAAAGTCATTGCTGAATAATATGCAGTATTACAAAATGATTTGAGATCTTCAGATTAACCTATTACCCACCCTCTTTGTCCTGTAAACTTCTGTATTTGGTTTAACAATCATCACAGTTAGGCAGTGTGTAGAAGTTAGATGCTCTCTTCGTATGTACTTGAGTGTAACATTGAGTTAGCCATCCTCCTTCCCTATATCCTTTACTGGTGACTTTTGAGCAGAGAGAACATGCCAAGCATGCTTCTGGTGATTCAGACATTTTTTAAAAGTAAACTAAAACAAAGCTGTCTAAAAATTAAGGAAATGATAATAATGCAATATAGTGGAGATTTGAGGTTAGTTTTTTAATGGCTTTTTCTTGGATGTGAAACAACACATTTCTTTCACTCTGTACTGCAGATTTACCTTTTAAAGAAAGAGTCATACATATTAGAAAACATTTCAGAAACAGTTTCCCATTGCTTACCATAACTTAGAGGTTTAGTATTTATAAGCCACATCTTAAACCTGAATAACCACAGTTGAAACCAAGAATTCAGTAGGTTAGTACTGTAGTTAAATTATTTATGCTTCAAGATCACACGTGCATAAGACCTTATCTTGGTTCTGCTATGTGTCAGGTGTGTACTCTTGAAAAAAATTACTTGATTTTTTTAATGCCTTGCCTTGTTTATCTATAAAATGAATGTGCTAGTAGTGTTTTCTTCATAGATTGACTGTGTACAAGGTAGTTTACACAGTGCCTCTATATTAAGAGCTTTTTGAATATTAATCATGATCATGAATATGCTCAGTACCATCAGCCTTGAAAGTGATGAGCAGACACTTTGCTGGGACTGGAGGAAGTACACATATGTTTTCAGTTCCTCATATAAGTCGATCTTACAATTTAGAATTTGATTTTAAATGGTTTTCTACTAGATCTGTTGTGCTAAGGTCTTGGTATATACCATTTAGAGAAAATACTGATGAAGGAAACTGTTAACAGTGTAATTATTAGAGAAATTAGCTATGTGTTACCAGTTTTGCTCCTTATTCCTGTAATCTAGAAACTATCTCAAGTCCTAGAGACCATGCATTTGCTTTACTTAGAGTGAGCATTTTTTGATCCATACATTGAAAAGGTTTCCTTTTGAAAGTAATTAACTATTTTTTCATCCTACATTGATATTTGACTAAAGCCCAATAATTTTAAACTAAGCTTTAGTTTTTTTAATTCAAGGTAAATTTCAGTGAGGTTTGATGCATGTAAATATTTTTATGACACACATATTAGTCAGGGCATGACATTGATTCCACCACCCCAGTTCTTGTGCCCATCCTTCCATGTACAAGTACTGCTTTGATTTTTAATACTGATGAGCCTTCCTAATCTGAAAATCTAATACCCCAAATGCTCTATAAGCTGAAGCTTTTGAGTGCCAGTATGATCCTACAAATGGAAAATTTTACATCCGACCTTACATAACCAGCTGTAGTCAAATGCAGGTGCACTAAAAATACATTATAAAATTATTTTTGGCTGTATATATCAAATATATATGAACTAAATGAATTCATGCTTTGATTTGAGGTATCTTTCTCAAGATAGCTCAGTATATATCTGTGAACCCTCATAAATTAGAAATATATGGATTACTTCTTGTCCTAAGCATATGTAAGAGATACCCAACCTATAGCATAATTTTATTAATTCTTGAATTTAATATAAATACAATCAATAATATCATCACTGTCATTTAGTGTAACAATAAACACAGTTATCTTAGTGTACTGTCACAACACAGATCATTTGAGACACCATATGTGTGAGACTTTCCTCCATACATCAAGCAGTCCTGTAAGCAGATACCAGCTGAGTATTCCCGAAGTCTGTTAAAAGTTCTGACATTTACTTTCTGAAGATAGTGTCAGATCCCACAGGTCAAGGACTCAGTCCTCAAAAGTCCCCCACTACACTTCTCATACTGAGCACAACTCCACGTTGTTTTTTCCCTCTTCTTCTGACTGACCAACTGTACATTAGGGTGTTCACAATCATTTCCTCTTTGCATTTGATTAATTTGCTAAAGTGGCTAGGAAAACTCAGGGAAACATGTTTACTAGTGTGTTATACTATGAAGCATCTTGGAAGTAGTGTGGAGTTTCCATATCTTTTCTGGTCATGGATCTCTTCAGGAACCTCGATGTTACTCTGCTGTTGAGAAGCTCTCTGAATTTTGTTCTTTGGAGTTTTTATAAAGTCTTCATTGTGTACCTGTGGTTAAGGCATGGCACATCATATAGAAAAGTGGTTGGTAAAATGAGTATAATCTAATGCTAATACACTGAGTGGAGGTAGTCAGCAAGGCCTCTCCAGATTGTTATTACCCTCTCTAGCTTTTCTTCCTCCTGGCTATGGGGAAGATCTGCTTTGAAACTGGAGTAGAAAGGAATGGCTTCTTCTGAAATACCACTGGACAAGGTAGGTCAGAGGATTATTTTGTGGCCAGCTGCAAGATGGAAACTAGGAAGAAGATCAGAGTATATTATTAGTTTCTATAACTAGTCTTGGCAATGAGAAATTCTAGTGTCTGTGGCTTATATTGGGAAAAAAGGAACATGTGAAAAGAGAACGGAGAAAGTGAAAGAGAGACAGACAGGCAGACTGACTGACTTCAGTTCTTGAGGCCTGTAGCATACCAGTTTTATTGTAGTCACTTGAGAAATTACAAGTATCACAAAAGGTGCAGTCCAGGAACCCTAGATCTCCCAAATATATGTATTTGTGGGTACACACACACACATGTGTACTTTTACATCTGGCTTTTGCTCATGATTGTGTTTCGAAATCTGTTCATGTTGTTGAGTATACCATTCATTCCCTATTGCAGAATATTATTCTTTTAGAAACAGTATAGTTTTGGATTGTTTGTAATGTGTGGCTGTTATAAGTAAAACCACTTTAAGCATTCTGAAGCTAGTCTTGTGGAGAAAGTTTTTTATCTTTTGGGTAAATAGAAGTAAAACTGGATCATTAAAGCAAATATGTATTTAACTTTATAAAAATCAGTTTCTTTTCCAAAAGGAATATCCTGTACTCCTTGTAGTGATGTGTGAGTTAGTTGTTTCATACCCTTACCAACATTTGCTATTGCTGATCTTTTCAATTTAATTTTATCCCTACCAATGGGTAAAAAGGTGTATTTCATTGTAATTTTAATTTATATTTCCTTGATGATAGTCTCCAATATCATTTATCAGTAGCAGTTTTTAAAGTGCTTGGATAGTTACTCAACAAGTAGCTGTTAAATATCTGCTGCATGCTCTTTGGTATTTTAAAGAGTATATTTTTACTTAAAATTAAAATAAATATAAGAAAATTTAAGCACTTGCAGGATCCTCTTAATGTTTCATGTTTACATAGTCTTCAATTTCCATAGTTTTGATGTTTATTAATACCTCCAGCTAGGTGATGTTTATATAACAAAAATAAGATTGTCATTATCATTAGGTATCTAAAAGTCCTCTGTTAGTACATACAAAACATGTCTATTTTATCACTCTTTGTTAAGGTAGTTCTTGGTTGACTTTAACCAACAGCCTGATTGTTAGGAAATTCTGAATGTTTGTGCAATTTCAGGCCCCCAGCAGTCTTCTTGATGCTTTGGAACAGCATTTAGCTTCTTTGGAAGGAAAGAAAATCAAAGATTCTACAGCAGCAAGCAGGTACATACATTATTCTTTTTAGGACAAAGGATGAGAATAATTTTTCTTAGGAAATGGATAAATCCGCCTCAAGTTTCAAGTTACTTAGTTTCTCTGCATCTTGACTTAACTAACTGTAAGATGGGCTTATTGTATTAGTCTCATAGAACTGTTAACAGGATTAATAGGTTAACACACGTAAGTTTATAGAATATTCCAGATTCTTAATAAGCAGCAGTGGCTGGTACGGTGATGACACAGTGATGCTTTGGTTTAGAATTGTGTTTATAATGTCAGAATTTCTCATAAAGATAGTCATAGATTGATTTCTATGGTGCTTTATGATTATAACATTGCATTAATACATATTTAATCCTTTTAATAACCTTGTAAAGTATGTAGTAGTAATGTTAAAGCTCAAATCTGAGATATCTTAACGTCAGATTTCCTCATTTTCTCTAATGCTGGCTTATGGGATTGATTATTGATATGTCATATTTTATTTTTAATTAAAAATTTTTTATTAGATATTTGCAGCACATAGTGATTACATTCGTTATTAGAGTTGGTATATGTATATAACATCTTAATTCTTTTTACTTTCCTCTTTTCACTCGCCCATGTCGAGATTCTTTTGCCATTTGCAAAAGCTCTATCTCCCTACATCCTGTTATCCACCCTTCTGTAACATGTCCTTTTAATCAACTTAAGCTTTGAGCTAATTCCCCAGTTAACCTAGCAAATTGCAGATAACATAAATCGTCACATCTCAGTCTTAACATGGTTTCTTTGTTAACTAATTACTTGAGTAATTCTTAGTTTTTAAATGAAGGTTTCCTTGCTGGGTGTGATGGCACACACCTATAATCCCAGCATGAAGGAGGCTGAGGCAGGAGGATCCCTGTGAGTTTGAGGCCACCCTGGGCTACATACAGATACTTTGTCTCAAGCAAGCAAACAAACAAGCAGAAGAATAAGATTTCCTTTTAATAGTATGATGAAACAATTTGTATAAAGTATAATACTAGTCTTTTAAAAATAGTTTTTCATTTTGGAACTTTTTTAGTAATAAAATTTAAAGAGACCATTAATAAATTTTAATACTTTTTAAAATTTCAAATGTGCACTTTGAATTTTCTGATAGGTTTTTAGAAGTACTGTTTTAACCAAAATGCTAAGACCCAGTTGTTTGAGAAAATAATAAAAAGTACAGCCCTATAGTTCAAGTGTACCAATTTGCCTGGGTGTTTATCATAAAATCTTTTGAGTTTCCTGAATTTATGTCACAACTGTATTATTTTTTCTTTGTCTTCTGAATTGTATCTTTTTATTGGCTCATTTACGATACTTATTGTGCATAAAAGTTTAATAGTTTTTGTTACTGTATGTACTTAGAGTAGAAATTAATGACATTTAGTTTGCGATAAAAGAGTACAGATCAGAGTATTTTTGGATGCACTTCTTTAAGGCCTGGTTTTACTATGGAGTCAAATGCTGGGGTTTGTGGCATGGGTAAGTCTCTGATGACAGGGAAGGAGATGGCCTGCTGTGAGCCTGCCAGCGAGTGATGATGCCTTGTGTGCGTAATGCCTTGAAAAGGACACTAATTTAGGTGAGAGTGGCGCCTGGGAAGAAGGTGCCAGCTGAGCCAGTCACTGGATTGAAACTCCTCTTTTCAACGAATTGGAGTGCTTTGGGGATGACATCTTCCATTATGGGGAAGCATACCTAGATATGCATTGCTTATTACAGATGCTCATGCTTTGCTGTTCATTTAAAAATAACCGAACCTGGCTAGTCAGTGGTATATTCCTCTGAGAACCTTGATACTTGTTTTCATCAGGACTTTGCTGGGAATAGGAGGGTTCTTTTCTAACTGCATTGGTTCCCTTTCTTGGGGCACAGAAGAAGTAGCATGCTCACTCTTGGGAACCCTTTCAAAGTCTCATCAATATTGTGCAGATCAATGCTGTTATAATTGATAATTGGTATACATACCGCTGTAGGTTACTGGTTAGAATACTCATCCTGAAGTACTGGTTCTAAAACCTTGAGGATTGCCAGATTACTTTATGACCTGGTTGTAATGTGAAATGTCTGGCAGAATGTCACATTACCTTTGTCTACTTACCCTAGGGCCACAACCCTTTCCAATGCAGTCTCTTCGCTGGCAAGCACTGGCCTGTCCCTGACCAAAGTGGATGAAAGGGAAAAGCAGGCAGCGTTAGAGGAGGAACAAGCTCGTTTAAAAGCTTTAAAGGTACCTGTCTATGTCCTCTTTGGTTTTTTTGGAAAAACAAGTATAGGTGTTCGTTAAGTAAATGGAGCTATAGACAGACTTAACAATTTTCAATGTGTAGCTACTACATGGGCTGAAACTCAGTCTTAATTTTTTTATCCTGACATTTGAAGTGTGATCAAAATATGCAGTGAATGTTTAAATTTTTAAAAATTATATCACAGTAAAAGATACGTTCCCATGACTAACCCTCTGAATACTCCTTGCTCTGAACATATTGTCCCCTTGAAAACATCATAGCATGTCCTCTTCTACCTTATTATCCACATTTGGCACCAAGCAACTTTTGGCTCTTAGTCTGCTGTCAAAATGGTCACGAATGGTAAATGTTTTGAATAGAGGCAGCCGTTAACTACACAACTGTAGACACTCACAAGAAATGACTTTCAAGAATGATGTTATAGGTGTTTTTCACTTATAATCTAAGGGGAGTATTGTCAGGATATTAATGGCAATGTGTCTTTTACTGTGATAAAGTTTTTAAATTGAAATATTCATTGTATTTTTTTATCACATCTCATGAAATGACTGGCAAAAAGAGTGAAGGAATACCTGCTATCAAAACACTTACATAGTGCTTTTTTCCAGAGGCTCAATAAACAGATCTGATCTCTGGATTTCTTATGGTAGTTTTCCTTTCTCACCAGGAACAGCGCCTAAAAGAACTTGCAAAGAAACCTCATACCTCTTTAACAACTGCAGCCTCTCCTGTGTCCAGCTCAGCCGGGGGGATAATGACTGCAGCAGCCATTGACATATTTTCTACCCCTAGTTCTTCTAACAGGTACGCAGAGTGATTAAGATTGCCTTTGGATATTTTATATGCAAAGACTTCTGTACAAATTTGAAGAGCTTTTTAGGTTTACTTTATGATTTTATGCCCATAAACTCACACAAAGAGCTGGTGGTCCAAGGCATAATTGATACAGTATCTAAGTGATAAAAGCATATATTTTGCATATTTAAATGAAAGATGCCAAAATTACTAATTTATACTAATTGGAATATAGCTCAGGAAATCATTGTTTTTCTAAGTCACTGAGTCTTTCCAGGAAAGCTGTTGTTACCGGAATGCTATATAAATTTAAGGTATACCAAGCATGGTAGCACATGCCTGTTATCCCAGCACATGGAAGGCTGAGGCAGGAGGATTGCCACAAGTTTGAGGCCAGCCTGGACTATATAGTGAGACCCTATCTCAAAACCAACAGCAACAACAAAACCCACAAACACACACACACTTAAGGCACGGTATTGGAATTTTTCCTGAGCCTCTTTAGAAATAGACAGTGACAACTGTCATTTTGCTGAAAACTGGTCCTCCTTTTGAGTTGTATATAACTGGGGTTTCTGTGTGTTGGTGGGGGCGTAATGTAGCAAGGTTTATCTAGAAAGTAAAACATCTTTCCAAAATATTTTCTTAGCTCATCAAAGCTGCCAAATGACCTGCTAGATTTGCAGCAGCCAACTTTTCATCCATCTGTACATCCTATGTCAACTGCTTCTCAGGTAGCAAGTACATGGGGAGGTAAGTATTAATGAATTCTGTTTCAGATTTCACATAGGTATCTCCTCTTACAAGGTGTTTTACTTATTAGTAGAGTTGTTGGTTACATTTGAGACATGAGAACTTGAGAAATATTAAACTGGTAGTGAACTACTTCTATCTCTTGGAGACATTTTAAATATAATTTTTTAATTTGTTTAATTATAAAATGAGGTTTAATGAAGGTAAAGAGGAAGGACCACCTACCTAAGTGTGAAGTTATTCTTTTAATATGAATTTCGATTCCTTAATCAGAAAATGCATAGTGGTTGTTCTGCTTTTAATACAGGGGGAAGAAAATCATACCTCCTTACTTGTGAGGAATATTTAGTAAGTTCTAGTAAGACTTAGATTCTACTACTAAGTAGTAAAGTATGTTGTGACAATGTAATTTCATTGTATTTTAAATGTTGATTTAATTCAAACCTATAAGAGTTTTGGTATTGAAAGAACTTTCTCCTAGTACTGATAGAAATAAGTAGTTTCCTATGAGTAGTTCTTTGATGATAAAGTGATCATGTCATTATTGTGACCATAGCCTACAATCTTTGGAGGAAAAATACTTAGTCACTATCAGTTTTTACACGGTTTTGCTTAGGCATCCAGTTTTCAGATCATTTCCTTTGGTTGGTTTTGATGTTTCTGTGAGTATGTATATAATATACTAAAGTCCCCAAAAACTTCCTGGAAATGGAAAGGAGATACTCTTGACAAAGGACACTAGAGAATGGCAAGATAACCTAACATTTATATGGGCTCATCTCTCATAGCAAAGATTAATTATTCTAGTAAGTTTTTACAGATATTTTTCTGTTTGTTTGCCCAGTTAGTTAGAGACAGGCTGGTCTTAAACTCTCAGCGATCCTCCCGCCTCAGCCTCCCGAATGCTAGAATTACAAGCGCCTGGCGTCTGTTTATTTTTATAATTTGTATTTGAAGAACTTTTTGTTATTTTTATAACTTATTAAGATGCTTTCTATATTACAGTGTAAACTTCATGAAGGCAGGTATTTTTATATGTTGCTTATTGCTCTATTCTTTGAGCACTTCTTGATACATAAGAGGAATTTTGTAAATAAGCTCATATAATAAGTACTTTGTTAAAGAAGTGGACATTTATCTTCTGGACCAGTTATTTCTGTTTTAAGGTAGTGCAGCAAACAAAATAGTGAAATGCTAAAATGTTAGATTTTTAGACTAGTTGTGTGAGCCTCAACTTGATTTTTAAAACTAACTGATTATGAGAGGTAGTTTAATTTAGCAAAATCTTAAGGTTTAGGGGTAATTTTTTAAAATAAGGTAATTAAAATTCTGTATTTTATAATTATTTCATAATAAACTGTAGGCAGCAAAGTAAGGTTTCTAAGAAAGGCTTTTTAAATATACTAACAAGTCCTGATTTTAGAATTTTCAGTCTACCAATTTTATGTTATTTTAATTGCTTAAGAAAAGATTGGTAAAATTAATGAGCCATTTGGGCATTTCTAGGTTCTTTCCCTTTTTTTGTTTAATAAATTAAGACTAAAAAATTTTATGGAAGGTTTAATGAAACTAGTGTATTTAAGTCAAAGAAATGGAACTGTTTCAATTCTTTATTGTTTTCTCGATATATGTGCAGTTATTCCTAAAATGACAAGTTAAAAGTTTCTGCTTGCAGTGATATAGACTGTTACTATGGGAGAATATTTTTAATTAATTGCAATCTGTAAGAATTGTTCTATGTTCTGTGAGAAGAAATGGTTTAATAAGAATCTATATTTAAGGGGCTGGGGATTTAGCTCAGCGGCAAAGCACCTGCCTGGCAAGCGCAAAGGTCGTGAGTTCAGTTCCCGGTACCAGAGAAAAACAAAAACAAAAACAAACAAACAAGAATCTATATTTAAGTACAATATGTTGGAATATATTTAATCATGTTGTTTTCCTGTTTTAGATTTTGCTTTCTATGCTACTTTTATAAAAATTTTTCTACTGTAGTTTACCATTTATCTTGCTATATATGAGTAGTGAGACCATTAAAAGTACATATTAAGTACAGTGGAAACAGAGACAATAGAAATTGTACTACTGTGTTTTCAAAAACTGTGTTACATACAAAGGAACGAATGTGTTCTTAAAAATGAGCCCTTCAATTTAAGCAGAAAAAAATCCTGTCTTGATTTTCATGTAAAGATATATGTCTTCCAGTTTGGTGATAATTCCAGTTTTGATTTTTGCATGAGTAGCTAGGTAACTGAAGAGTATTTTTTTTTTTTTTTTTTTTGGTACTGGGAATCAAACTCAGGACCTTGTGCTTGCCAGGCAGTCACTTACTCCACTGAGCTATCTCCCCAGCCCACTGAAGAGTATTTTAAACCAAGAACTTTGTGACTAAGATAAAAGGAATCTTACTTATAAAAAGCTTTCATTGTAACAATGAATGTTGAAATTAATCATTTATCTCAATATTTTAAATATGTAACATTTTATATGTCATGTTGCTTTTGTGGTATATTAATATATAACAAAACAAAGGTATGATTTTTGGTAGTCCCCAAATGTAGTTTTGTGCTTCTTTTGCTTTAATTAGCTACAAATGGGTGCTAATGCCAGACCTAGTATATAATTTAGTTTTTACCAAAGTACCACAGAGCTAATGTGTATTCTTCCTCTTACATAAGGTTAGTAAGACAGTATAGTTAAGAGAAAGGCTTTGTGTGTCTGTAAGAAAAGATGTTAAACATTGTACCTAAAAATGAAAGAGAGAGCTCAAGCACACACATTTCCTTGTTCCCCTCATTGTGCTACTAAGGAGCCCTTGATTATTCAAGAAATGGCCTGGAGTCTAAACAAGCGTTTGGTGTTGAGTGTTAATATCTGAGAATACTTCAAGACTTTTATCATTTTGAAAACTTTGTTTTATAGCAGATCTAACAATATAAAGAATTATCAGATTATTATACTGTTGAATATTTGAAACAAGATTTCACAATCTAGCTGTAAGAGAATTACTCATTCTAAAGTCAAATTTTCTTTATCCTTAGCTACCATAAAATAACACTTCATGAAAAAATTTGTATTTCTGCATGCAAATGTAGATTTCAATTGCTGAGGACCTCAAGACTATAATGTGTCTATGGTGCTATTTCAGTACTTTTTTAAAACTTTTTAAAATTATTTTCCCATCTCTAGGGTTGTGTAAAATTTAACTTTCATGTAGATAGATAAAAATAATGACCAAAATTATTTTTAAAAAGTTCAAGAAACTTAGAGTTGCTAGTCTAGTAGACAAAGTTTAAATTGGAATAGTTAGCCGGGCGTGGTGGCACACGCCTGTAATGCCACTCAGGAGGCTAAGGCAGGAGGATAATTGCTAGTTTGAGGTCAGCCTGGGCTACAAAGTGAGCTCAAGGCCAGCCTAAACTGCATAGTGAGACCCTGTCTCAAAAAAAATTGGAATATTGTTATTATCATATATTCATAAATTTGTGTTCATTGTTATGTGTAACATCTGCTAAGAAACTAACATGACCTAGATCACTGGCAGTGTCACATAGATTAGAGGGTGATTTTCCTTATTGCCTAATTGATCTATATATAAATGTCTTATACTTCTACATATTCTTAGCTAGTTTATTTTAGGAAGTGATTTGAAATTAGGTGTGTACATAAAGCAGTATCAGTCAGTAAGAAAGCAGATAATTAGTGACTATTCCTGAACGTGTCTTATAGATTAATGAACCTATTGTAGAAATATGGGTCTTTTTTATTTTAATGACATATTTCATGGCTTTTTTTTTTTTTTTTTGGTGACAGGGAAGGAGAGACTAAGACAATTGTTCTGTATTGCATGTTCAACAAAGTACAGTGTACTTTAAAACTCCATTCCACTACCAAATATTTTTAAAGTGTACTTTCAACCCAGCTGGTTAACTCTAAACATAGTACAATTCTTTTCTTATGGAAGTGGGTGATAGTGTGGATAGCATTATAACTTGAAAGATATGTTATGCTTAACCCATGATCTCAGTATTCTCCTTTTTCAAACAAGTGTGTTTGGGGTTGTGGAAGACTTGTTTCCAATGTATTGACTTTAAGGACAGTTTGCCTATATGATAGGAGCTTGTTCTTAGGCCATTGCTGCTATCTTATTAGTCAGTCATATAGTCTTAAAAGCAAAATACAGTGTCTGGATCTAAAGGTACTACAGTAACCTTTGGTGAAGGTCAAGAACTGAACAGGAGGGGCTGGGGATTTAGCTCAGCGGCAAAAGCGCCTGCCTGGCAAGCGCAAGGTCGTGAGTTCGGTTCCCGGTACCAGAGAAAAACCAAAAAAAAAAAAAAAAAGAACTGAACAGGAATAGGGAAGAATAGGCTATTGGTTGAAAGTGCAGCACTGTCATCTTGTTTTTCAGTTGTGTAACTCAGAAAAAAATATAGTACTGTTATTTTTACTCATATTTATTTTTTCCTCTCCCCATTTAGTTGACTCTTTAAAACTTAAGAAGATAGGATAAGTGGCTTTCAGTCATTTGAATGATTATCTTGAGTGAGGTATACAGAAATATCTGATTATAGAGTTACATGTGAAGTTTGATAATAGCATATGTTAATATTATGGTAGGGAACACTTTTTTTATTTTTTGAAAAAGTCACCTAAAGACTGTAAAGTTTTTAGCTCCAAAGCTGTTCTCCGTCTACTAAACAGGCATCTTCTGCCTCTTTCTTAGTTGTCAGAAATCCCTTTCCCCATTCTCAAGTCTTTTCTTCATTTTTATTTTAAGCTTTGTACCTTTGACCCTATAGAGGAGATACATGCACACACTAGAAATGGCTTCTTCTAATTTGAAATTAACCTTTCTTTTTGTGATTCTACTCATATCGCATATGCCCAATATTTATGTAAGTTATTTCAGTAAACACCATTGTGTCCCCAAAGCCAATGTACTTCTACGTAGGGTAGTGAAAATGTATGCAAGGTGAGTGGGTCTTGTACGGAAGCATCTTTATAATTCTCTTTTAAAACTGACTAATGGCTTTCTAAAGATGGAGGGCAAATCATCCTTAATATGCTACCATTGTTAGTGGACACATAAATGTTTTTCTCTAAGGATTCCTTTTAGCATATGTAAAGTGCAAATCTTCCATCTTGGTCAGTAGATGTATTTACATTTAAAATTAATAATATAGCTACTACTTTTCACTTGCACCTTTTGACTAATTACAATACTAATTTATGTACTTCCTTTCTTCCTTTTTGCTGTAATACACTTGGACTGCACAGACCCTTTCTCTGCTACTATAGATGCTGTTGATGATGCCATTCCAAGCTTAAATCCTTTCCTCACAAAAAGTAGTGGTGATGTTCACCTTCCCATTTCTTCAGATGTATCCACTTTTACTACTAGGACACCTACACATGAAATGTTTGTTGGTAAAGTACCATTTAACCTTTTTTTCCAATTGATGTTTATACTGCCTATTTCTTCCGTATCCATTAATTACTTTTAAAGCATTGTAGTGATTACCTTAGATTTTAACATCCAATTTTAAAATAAATGAAACAGCAATAACAAGGTAATGAGGTTCAAAAATCATTATCCCTAATTTTATTTAATACAGGTTTCTAGGAAAGAAATTTTCTTTTGGTGTTGAACTTTTTTTTTTTCTGTGTTTTGTTCTCTGTATTTTGTCTGGCTAATATCACAGGTAGCATCCTGTTTTTCAGTTCATAGAATTAATTAAAAAGTGATATGTCCTTATGTTTTCCCCTCTGTTCTCTAGAGAGGTGCTGGTTACCATTCTTAGTACTGGTCTTAGTCTTACTTTTGCCTTTTCAAACTGTTCTTTATTACAATTTTGTATTGTCTAAAAATCGACCCTTTATCTCATTCTTAGGAGACTCACTTTATTATTTGCCTAGAGATAAGTGAAAAGTAGAAGTATGTATTCCATTTCAACTTGTGTAGTGGGAAAGCAACTTGGGTTGAATAACCTGTCACCACAGTGTAAAAATGTATAAAAAAGCAAAATTTCATACCTGAATTATATCGGAAAGAGTAAGTTTGTGTCAGAAATACACTATTTGCCCCCTTAAAAGGATGATGGAACTTTTATTGAGTTCAAACAGCTTAAGGTGATAGGATTTAAGTATTTTATTAAACAGCATGCAGAAAGTCATCTCTGTATCCTAAATAAATCATGTGGCCACATTCTAAATATCCTATATTATGTATGTGTCCTATGTTATATGAGAGAGAAGGAGGAAGAGCAGGGTTGTAGAGGGAAGCGACAGAAATAGCTAGAGAGCAAGTCAGCAGCAGGGACTAGAAAGAATGTTCCAAGTCAGATATTCTAGTTATGTATAACCAGTCTAGTAGCTCAAACTGTCAACCCCTGCTTTAAAGGATTGAAAACAACCTGAAAAAAGTGTCAGGGAATAGCTCTGTTTCTAGATACCCCAGGCCTTCTAGAGGAAGACATTCATCTGATAATATGATGATCAGTGTAATGGGTAGCTTTTCCTCAATGAAGCTGTGACAGTTGATTAATATAAAGTCAAGAAGAATGAGTTACAGTCCTAATATGCCACATATGTGAGTCTCTGAACTACTAGGCCTGCTTCCTCATGTGTAAAACGCAGACAAGTTAATGTTGTCTTTTTCTAATGAGATAGGGTTGGATTCAGTATTATTTTTTAATTTGATACAGTCTCTACTCCTTTTAACAGAATACTCATAATGAAGCCTTATTTTTTGTTTTTCTTAAGTTAAAGAATGCCAAGTGTTTGGAATCCCCCATTTTTTGTTTTACTTTTTTATTTTTGGTTATTCCATCCTACATTTAAGCTATTTCTCTTCTTTTTTTTCCCTGCCCTCACTACTTTTGCTCCCTGCTACCTCCATCCCATTTATGCCTTCTTAGAAAACTTTTATGACACTTGAGTTTATCTTAGATTTCTCTTGTACCATGAACCTTTGTTGTAGTTGGCATATTTAGTGGTAGATAACATTTCTAAAATTTACTCAGGAGAATTTTTTTAAATGAGTATTTTTAATCTTTTCTAGGAAAAAAAATGCTTATTTACTTTTGAACAACCACTTCTTAGCTAATTTTGTTTTTTTTTTAATTAAATACCTTGTGATTTTCCATTAGATGCCTGCTGTATGGATTACTTTAATCCATACTCTCAAATGTTATAAATTTTCAGAAGAGTACATAACATTTTAATATTAAAAGCTTAATGGAATTAAGAACTCTTTGTATGTACATCTGTCTTTCCAAATATATCTTGGCTAGTGCAGTAGCAATAAAATTTGAAAGTCTACCTGGTGTGTGTGTGTGTGTGTATGTGTATGTGTGTGTACATATAGTTGATTTGCTTGGTTAATTTGGCATTAAAAGTTGGTATCACAAAATTAAAGAATTGAGGTTCTTGGCTAGTAATAAGAATTGGATATAGCCAAATACATTTAAAGATGCAATTTATGATGGCATTTGTTGGAAAAATACCCTTATAGCTTAGCAAATGTGAATTTGAATTCCAGTTCTGCTTTTTTAACTGTGGACTTAAACTCCTATTTAGCCTTTATAGACCTATGAACATTGGTATAACAATGTCTTTCAGGACTGTTACGAAATTCATATGTATGGCTATTTTATATTCCTGTGGCTGGCACATAAAATTTTAAAACTGTCTTGTACACTTGGACTATATCATATTTCAAATGTACTTCTTCCCTAAATTATTTAATCATCAGACATGATCTTGAAGGGTGACTGTCTTTGCATTGTTTTCAGTTTTTAAAATTGTCAAAGGTTACTCATTTTTCTCTACAGCATTAGCAGTAAAAAACTTGAGTTCTTAAAACTTAAAACATTTTTATTAAGAAGAATTATAGCTGTAACAACTTACTTTCATACTTAAAGGGTAGTTTATATAAGATAAATACCTAAGATAGACTAAAAACCTCAAATAGTTTCTAGAATGAAATAGAGGCTCAAGTCTTGATTTTGCATCTTACTAAATCTTTAATTTTGGGTAAATTTTGTAGTCTCTTAATTTCCCACATCTGTTTAAAAAATAATAGTTAATTTGCTGTTGCAGTTAATTAAAAGTTTTCTTATAGGCATGTCCAACCTGTGGTCTACCATTTCTTTGCCCTCATGTTTGTAACTGAAGAGGAATTATCTAGGGTTGCATATAAAACATATAATATAGTTAATGTATACATTAGCAAAAGTTTCTTTTTTAAAAAAAATTGGTATTATAACATTAAAAATCCAGTGGGCCACAGGTTGGACATGTCTCTACACAGAGATTTTTAAAATGAGATATATGCTGTGAATGACTTCATATCCTTTCTAACCTTTCATACATTCAAGTAATAATATAATTTCACAGATTGATGTCCTTAGGGACTTAAGGAGATGGCTCCTCTCTTTATAGAAAGTAACAAGGTTTTTTCTGTATTACCGTAAAGGATAAATACGTTGTGTTATATCAGTCAAATTCTAGAAAGCTAGCCAGGCGTAGTGGCACATGCCTGTAGTCCCAGCACTTCGGAGCCTGAGGCAGGAGGATTGCTGTGATTACAAGACCACTCTGAACTACATACGGATACCCTGCCTCAAAAAAAGGCAGCAAAAATTCTAGAAAGCTGACAATGCAGCAGGAGAAAGTAGGAATTTGGTATATTGGCCTTGATTTAAAGTGCTATTTCACAATGCCCTAAAGAGCAGTATGTGTACTTCTTACTATGATGGTAGCATGGGCATGTAAGTAAGCACAATATACTTTCGTGTTTCCTGACTGTATATATTGCCTCTTAAAAAGTTATAAGAACTGGCCAGACCATGATAGAGTTGAAACTTGCACCCTCTAAAATGTTATTAAATTGATGTTGCAAATTCTAAGATGATCATCTTGATGAATGGTCGGATTTATATATTAGATTATTATTTTGATAGTGTTTCTGTACTCAGTGTAGGACCACGATCTTTGAGTTAAGAGTTTAAGGGTTTAAACAAATCAAAATTGTACGTTCTCAAAAAATCTGTGCCATACAGAATAATTCATTATATGATCTAAAATGCTATTTTTAAAGTTCTATCCTTGATGTTGGGTTAATGTTACTAAATTACTGCTTTCTGATTTTCTCTCCAATACCTTTTCTCCTTCTTTTAACAATTTTAATTTCAATCTTTGTAGTACAACATAACATCTTTGTACTTATTTATATCCTAATAGTAGCCATTGACAATTTAAAGTGAGATTTTGACTAAAAGTCTTTTTCTACAGAGAACAGAAGGGCTGAAGATATAGCTTAGCGGCATAAATGCCTATCTGGCAAGCTCAAGGTCCTGAGTTCGATTCCCTTTACCAAAAAAAAAAAAAAAAGAGAGAGAGAGAAAAAAACACTGTATAAAGA